GTGTCTCAGCGTTTCCCCACGCAGAGTGGGGCTGCGGTGGGGGGGTCCCCAGGGCGGGGGGGGGGGTGTGTGTGTGCCCATCATGGGACGTGGCTCAGCCCCACGACCTCGGCCACCGGGCACTGAGCCTGGTGGTCCCCAAGAGCACGAGCATCCTGGGGCCACCACCAGCCCTTCGTGTGTGTGTCCCCCCCCCACAACACCACGCAAGACCCCCCAGGCAGTGGTTTTGGGGGTGAACACCCCAAATTGGGGGTGCCAGGACCCCCAAACTCACACGAGCATCACGCACCGGGGATGGGGACACGTCTCCCCCGGGTGACACACGTCCCGGAGCCGCCCCGGCTCCTCCTGCACGGCCTGGGAGAAAGAGAAGGGCTGGTGGGTTTTTTTTTTTTTTGGGGGGGTCGGGGGTCCCCCTGCCCCCGGGGGAGCCCAGTGGCCTCCTGAGTCAGCGGCAGCCGCCCCCGGAGGAAAACGGGGCTGAGTCGGCGGCGGGATGAGTAACGGCACCCGCCGTTTGACGATTATCACGTGATTTCAAAAAAAAGGAGAGAGAAAGGAGCCCGGGTGGGAAAGGGGGTGATGGGAGAAGGGAAAGGGGGGGGCCAGGCACCCCCTGTCCCCCGCCGGGCTCCCACCTCCACCCCCGTCCCAGTGCATTTCCAGTCCGAACTGGTGGACATGGCGGGGAGGAGACTGCCCTCAACGCCATCCCGGCTGCGGGTGAGGCCTTGTCCCTGGGTGGGTACCACTCTGCCCCCCCCCCCCTTTTTCTTTTTTTTTTCACACCATCGCCCTGCGGGGCGGCTGGGAACCTGCTCTCCTCACCCCCCCTCCTCGAGGGTTTTGGGGAGCTGGGAGGGAGCCCCCCCCTACCCCCGCCCTCCTCCCTGCCTCCTGCAGCCTCCCCCAGGCAGAGAGGCCCAGAGAACGATCACAACTCATCACATGGATGCGCCCGGCCGGAGCCAGGTTGGGCAAGGGCTGGGGTTTCTCAAGAGAAGCTGAATTTAAGGGGGTCTTACCACTGAGGTCACGCACCCACATCCCCACAGGGGGCAAAAGCAGCCCAGGACCCCCCCCCGACCCTCCGCCCGCAGGCTGTAGGCCCTACAATAACACGGAGGAGAGGGTCTCAGCGGTGGTACCCACGGTGGGAGGGAAGGGGCTTCCCCCGTGCACGGGGCAGACCCTTCCCCTCAGTGAACCAGGAGAACCCTCACCCTGGCCACTGACCCCCCCCCGGACCCCTGTGGGGTGTCCCCCACCTCAGCCCGTTTGCTGGCATCGTTAGGAGGGAGAAGCAGCAGCCCTTAACGAGGCCGATCCCGAGCAGGAGATGGAGACGTGAGGCCCAGCAGCTCTCCCCGACCTCCACACACCACCGGGGATGCTCCGTGCCCATCACCCCGGCATCGTGCCCACGGGCACCCCCTCCCTTGGTGCTCCCTCACCCACCATTTCACTCACCCGTGGGCTCGTGGGCTCTTCCCTTCCTCTGCTGTCCCAGCTCTGCCACCCCCGGGGCCACACGCTCTCTCCTGCAGGACGTCCATCAGCTCCTCCATCGGCTCCTCCGGGGGTTTGGTGAAGCCCCTCTGCCTGTGGGGTGTCCCCCACCTCAGCCCGTTTGCTGGCATCGTTAGGAGGGAGAAGCAGCAGCCCTTAACGAGGCCGATCCCGAGCAGGAGATGGAGACGTGAGGCCCAGCAGCTCTCCCCGACCTCCACACACCACCGGGGATGCTCCGTGCCCATCACCCCGGCATCGTGCCCACGGGCACCCCCTCCCTTGGTGCTCCCTCACCCACCATTTCACTCACCCGTGGGCTCGTGGGCTCTTCCCTTCCTCTGCTGTCCCAGCTCTGCCACCCCCGGGGCCACACGCTCTCTCCTGCAGGACGTCCATCAGCTCCTCCATCGGCTCCTCCGGGGGTTTGGTGAAGCCCCTCTGCCCCCCTTGCCCAAAAAATAGGGAAGGGGTCCCCATGTCTGTTTTATCCCCCCCCCGTCACCCCTGGGGACATTCAGCATGCCCAGGGTGAGTGGCTCAGGGCCAGGCCACCGTGCCACGGCCACCAAGGATGAGCTGAGCCCAGCACCCACCTTGGCACCATCACAACCACAATCCCCCCTCCCTGCCCACCCCACAGCCCCAGGAGAACCCTCACCCTGGCCACTGACCCCCCCCCGGACCCCTGTGGGGTGTCCCCCACCTCAGCCCGTTTGCTGGCATCGTTAGGAGGGAGAAGCAGCAGCCCTTAACGAGGCCGATCCCGAGCAGGAGATGGAGACGTGAGGCCCAGCAGCTCTCCCCGACCTCCACACACCACCGGGGATGCTCCGTGCCCATCACCCCGGCATCGTGCCCACGGGCACCCCCTCCCTTGGTGCTCCCTCACCCACCATTTCACTCACCCGTGGGCTCGTGGGCTCTTCCCTTCCTCTGCTGTCCCAGCTCTGCCACCCCCGGGGCCACACGCTCTCTCCTGCAGGACGTCCATCAGCTCCTCCATCGGCTCCTCCGGGGGTTTGGTGAAGCCCCTCTGCTCCCCTCTCCCAAAAAATAGGGAAGGGGTCCCCACATCTGTTTTATCCCCCCCCCATGTCACCCCTGGGGACATTCAGCATCCCCAGGGTGAGTGGCTCAGGGCCAGGCCACCGTGCCACGGCCACCAAGGATGAGCTGAGCCCAGCACCCACCTTGGCACCATCACAACCACAATCCCCCCTCCCTGCCCACCCCACAGCCCCCCCGTCCCAGGCCTGGGATAAGCCCAAGAGGGATGATGTCCCCAGTTTCAAGGGGACCCCGAAGTCACTGGCCCAGCTCCATGCCAGGGCTGGCATCCCGGGCCACCGGGTCTGAATGTCCCTGCCATCACCCCTGGGGTTGGTGACGCTTTTTGTTTTGCTTTTGATTGTCCCATTTCTTGTCACCCGCTGAACCCGAAAGGTGCCGCTGTGCCGGGAACGGGGCCGCGGGTGAGGGTTACCCACAACGG